GACAGCCTAGCCTCATTACTCACCCCGTAACTGCGTAATGATGCGATTCCCGTTCCCCAGCTTGTCTTCAACACACATCCTGTGATCTCTGCCTAACATCCAACTTGACAAGCAGCTGTGGCTGGTGCAACACACTTCAACGGTAAGACAAAGTTCAATTCGTGATGTTATGAGATTCTTGCCTTTTCTCACTTTGCTTTTCATTTCTAGATGTTCTGATGGTATAGACCGACATAGACAAGAGTGGCTGGATTACAACTGCCCTGAAGAGGTGAGACTCATTACCATATTACACAAGAGAGAGATGAGCAGCTTTGTTACTGATTCCTGAGTCATTCTTTTCGGCATTCACTCAGGCTAAAGGCATGTGTGAGGACTACAACACAGTTCTACCTGAAGCAACTATGAGCTCCCTTAATCACTCCTCTCCAGGTCCAACCGTTTCAGTGCTTGAAGAACAGCCTGTTACTAGGGGTGAGTTGGAAAATACAGTGCTGGTATTTCAGCAAAAACTCAGTCCCACAACTGGTGAAGGATTAATGAAGGAATATTTAATTGTTTATTTTTTGGGGGGGATCATGCAAAATGTGACCCTTTGTGAATAGATTAAGGAGAAGCAGAATTACTAGTAGCTCTCTGACTTCTGAGCCTTACAGAATTAAAGCTGAATTTCCATAGAGAGCATAAGCATTCAGGTACCAGCTGCACGACTCAATATAAACAGTAGATAGCCCCTAAATCTGTGTCAGATTTAAACTTGTACATCTTTGCAAACATTTTCAGAATGTAAAAAATAACAATAACAGAAAGCTTACCATAAAACTAGTCTCACTATAAAATTATGACTAATAATTGCTGAACTTATCTATGTATTTATATATGAGATTTTGTGTAGATCTTTTCAAAGACATGTTTATGTAAAATCAAATCTACCTAAGCAAATAGGAGTGCCTTCTGTTGCATTGGCTTGGACACTTTTTATGAATAACTAAATTTTCATTTTTGACAGTAATAATCAGAAGAAACCATTAGAAGTGTGTGAGCAGAAGCTATGATTTCCAAAGCTTGTAATCTAACCAGGGGTAGGCCCCAGGGATCAATCCTAGGACCACAATTTATTCATTCAATATGTTCAAAAATTTTAAGTTCATCTATATGTTTCTACTTATTTATTTGTATAAATTCTGCTAATTAAGAACCCACTGATTTTAAATCTCATGTGTTCTATTATCATAGTTAAATAAAGATTATGTAAGTGTCAAACTCAACTCTAATAAAGTCCAACAGTAAAGTAGTCAAATATTTGTTTTTCCATGTGGACTTTGGGAAGAGACTGATGATTGTTTTTTAATGTTTTTCTGTTGATTTTCTGTGTATACAGATTTTGGGGAGATTTACTGTAAATACAAACAAGTCAACATGAATTTCTTTCTTTTTTTTTTAATTTGAAAACGAAAATCGTCCCCACTTAGTTTTAGGAAGTTGGCCACAGAGTTTTCCAAAGTAAAGTCCATAGTTAGCTACCTAGGCATTTCTATATTTAGAAATGCTTTAACAGGAGCAACAATCTTCCTTCCTTTCAGATATACAGACGAGCCCTCCAAACAACGGGATGACAGAGAACACGGCCATCATCGCAGGCGTTGTGGCTGCTCTAGTTCTGCTTGTAGCTCTCACCTTACTGGCTGTTTACTACATCAACACACATCCCACAGTGGCTCCACCATTCTACCTCATGCAGGTCAGAAAAACAACATCCAGCTCTCATTCCCTCTGCAGTAGGGATGGTCACAGACTTTAATTTTCTTTTAAAATATAGAGGACCTTTTCTTGTCTTAAAATATATGTTTTCCCTTAATTTCACTTTGACCTGGTGGGCTGTAATATACTGCTATGGTCAGATGGTGGTGGTAATGCACATTGAAGTTGTTTTAAGCCACTGTTGAAATACATCATTGATGCTGGTATTAAAAGGAATGTAGATTTAAGGCACTTCTGCATTGGCTTCCCTTTTAAACCTGGAAATTATGTCCATCTTTTATAATGTCTACATAACTACCAGACTTCAGACAGGTGAAACGTGTAAGCATGCATACTCTGTCACTGGGTGACCAGTTTATTTCACAGGTCAATGAAATGACAGATTCACCTGATGAATGAGAAGTGGGTGATGTTCATGTGTCTGCAAAAAGACTTGCAGAAGTCTGTGACAAAACAGCCCTGAACACTGGAAACACTCTCCTGATGATCTTTAAGCTCCAATGGGTCAATGAGCTTGTGGCTTCACAGTAAAACCCACTCTTGACTTGAAAACACTCACCTTTAAAATTCATAAAAGCACTTGCAGTAAAGTTTAGGGGATTTATGGATGTGCAATAGGCATCGCAGTGGCTAATTTCATCTTTTATGCCGTCTATGGTTGAAGCCTGCATCTTCCCATTTGCCTGCTAGGTGGTCTTTACCTACTACTGTTTCTCTGTCTGCAGCGGCGCACCAATAACTACTGGCCCTCTATGAAGTTCCGCAATCAGGGCTGTCACTCCAGTTATGCTGAAGTCGAGCTCGGGGGCCATGAAAAGGAAGGTTTCATTGAAGCTGAGCACTGCTGCTAAGGGTCTAGGACTTGCAGGACTCAATCAGTGGAAGAGAGGACACCATCTTGAGGAAAACCGCGGTACTACAGGAGGATGAATATGGACATTCAGGCTGACCATCAACACAAGATGTCCTTACTCCAACCTTTGAGGCTGGACAGTGTTTACTGTAACTGCTCTTGTAGCTCTTGCCAGCTTTCTCTGTGTCTTTTGCTGTTTGCCATCACACAGGGGATTAGCCATATTATCTAAGGGTTGGAGGGTTTGAGAGGAAGACGGCAGTACAGAAATGATGAGATGCAAATGTCCAAAAGCCAATGATGCAAGGGCCTGTCAGGGAATGAATTAAACTAGCCTTCATACTGCAAATCAATGTACCACTCAACTTTACTCTGTGTTTTTTGTTTTTATCCATTTTATGGAGTCACTTTTGTTTCATGAAACTTCTACGCGAGCAACGATGAGTTCATAAAATGTTATATCTATGTGGACTTCACTACGACAGATATTTAGCTTTATAGCTGATAGTGATTATAAGGACGTATGTTGTTTGGATGAATTTTAGAGACGTGTTATGAGGGTTTTCTTTGAACCTTTCTGTTTAAATGTCTTCTAATAAAAGCTGGTGACGAGTCTGGATTTTGATCTCAAGGTCATAGTCTGGTGAGTGACTAACATCTATTTAGATGGTTTTCAATTTTTATAACTAAATGAATGAGCCTTAAAATATAAGGAAACAGCATTAAAGATGCTATTAGAGAAATACCTTATGTGGGCATTAATACTTCATGTGCATCTAATTTTTAAAAATAAATTTACATTATAGCTTAAGCACTGCTGTGATAACAACTGAAAATGACTGCATGTATGGAATTCATTTTTTATGCAAATTTATTTTACAGCAAATGCATCTGTCTCGCCCTGAGACAGCTGGGATGGATGGAAATGTATCTCCTTCCTTGCTGAAGTCCCATGATAGGTTAAAAATTGCAAAAATGTAAGGTATTTAGGGCTGTGCACAGCATTGCCACAGGATGGCGCCATAACACAACACGAAATTCCACATGACAAGCGCAGCCAAGGTGATCATTTGTTATATTGAGCTTAAAGATCAAGGTGTGTACCGAGCAGAGACAGATATTCCGATAGTTTTGCTAACATACAGGCATATTAACCGCTTGCAACGTCTATAAATACTTGTAAACTTTGCAGATTAATAAGAAAATAGATTTTCCACACAACTAATGGTGACAAAATCAAAAAGTAAAGTAGAAGTACACATTGGGACATGTAATTAATTTAGTGGTAAACCCCTGAATAATTTCTTTTAGATAAGGTGGAATATAGTATTTTAAGACGCGGTGGGAAACATAAAAGCGACAAAAAGACATACGGCTACTCGTAGAGATTATGTTCGTTAAGTAAGGAATAAACTTCATATATCGCTAGGCAATCAGTGAAGTTTTCTATTACATTTATTTATACGAACGCAACGACAAAAAGTCACCAAGGAAAGAAAAGAGGGGGCACCCGGATTTGAACCGGGGACCTCTTGATCTGCAGTCAAATGCTCTACCACTGAGCTATACCCCCGATGTACGAAAGAGGCCAGTTTTGGCTATATGAATATACCACATGTTCAGTACTGACAGGCTGAATGTATTAGATAGTTGTTTCTTGCATTTACTCATAAATCCCAACATATATTATAATACACAGGTTTGTTTAGTCCGAAGCTTTCCGCTAACTTAACAATGTAAACAAAATGGCAGACCTGCTTGTAATCGAGCTTGTTTCCAGCAGAGGGCGTCAAATAAACAAAGTCGAACCGCAGTACAGGATATTATCATGTCCCCACGTAGCAGTTGGAGATATCTATTTATCATTCACGTCATCAATAGCATGGATAATTCTTTGTTTTCTTTACTGGTTAAACTTTTGTGTTAGTGCTGTGTATGGGGTTTTTTTTTTAATAAAAAGTTGTAACCCCGTTGTTGTATAAATGTAGATATTTAGAGTTTACCGCGATAAATTTATGTTTAGAGTCGACCTTATTCATTTAAAAGCGTTATTACAGTACATTTGGATTAGTCTATGTTGTTACTCCTTTTAAGGTTATCAACCTCACTTCTCCTCAACGCTGCTGATGCTGCCTTCATGGCATGCGAAAACCCTGTAATTTACAAAACATATTTGGACAAGCTAAAGAGGCCGCTGAATGGTGCGCAATGGTTTCGTTTGTTTTTGTTGTTAATTCCTTTTAAATTACTAAAAATATCATATAGAATCACATTTGACGACCATCTCGTATTAATTACTTAAACACCAGAAGTAAGATTGCTATGTCCGACGACCCATAAAGGCAACATGAGGTCTCCGTGCTGCACAGTTGACTCCTCCTCGCCTTGGGGTCATATTAACTGAAATGCCTGCGAGAAAGCGGGAGGACGGTTCGAGTACCAGCTGCCCATTACAGGTCCTTTACTCCTGAACTTTTGGACTAGTAAACTTGTTTTTGTTTTTTCTGCAATCATGAATCCGCCCTGTGGGAGATGCAATAAACCAGTTTACCCAACAGAAAAAATAAACTGCCTTGATAAGGTAAGGTGAAACAAGTTTAAGCCCATCCACTGACCTTAATGTGATTTACTCTAATGTATGCAAAGATTTATCAGGTGAGTTTCAAGACTAACTTATACTTTCAATTTTATTATAGATATTTTAAATTTAAAATAGTTTTGTCCACTTGCAAAAGTTCTTTTTTATTCTACAGTTTTAAAAATATTTTTATGCAGTCATATCTCATGTGATGCTTTAACTGGGTGCATATTTTGTACAGTCACAACCAAGCCAAAAAAACCATGCAAAATGGAAGTCTAGATAATACACATAGAAATCAACTAGAAATCTCCAAATGTTAAAAAATTTATATCTTACATAATCAATAATAATCTATGTGTCTGTGGTTTCTCAAATAGATGTACTCTGATCATTTTAGTGGAATCAGATGAATATTATTTATAATCAAGATGATCTAATCAATTTAAGGACTTAATCAAAGCAAAGTGACCTGAGTTACAGAGATGTTATCAATTCCTGATTTCTTTTGGGAAAAATGGCTTCCTGCAGGACTTTTATTTAATAATGCAAAAAATATATTTATGGGAAAGTTTATATGCATAGTGCATAGGTTTAAAAATGCACCTAATTTCACAGCATTATTTCTCACAGTCATTTTCCATTTGAACCATTTCTTATTGGAAATCTTTTAGTGAAGCGATGGGAGAAATAGAATCAGATTAGTAGGACAGCTGTGGCCTTATGTAGAGGAGTCAAGGGATTTCCCCGCTCAGAGAGAGAAAGAGAGAGAAAAAAGTTTTCTTTTTTCAAATGAAAAACCATTTAATTCAATCAGCCAGTAAGAGTGAACAAGATTTCCACAGTGTTCTGTCAAAAAAGGTTAATACAGATCTAAATTTGTGTCGATGGAAATGCATTTTCTTCTAAGTCTAATACTTCAGACTTTATTTCTTCTCTTTTTTCCTAGTATTGGCACAAAGGTTGTTTCAGCTGTGAGGTCTGCAAGATGGCCTTGAGCATGACGAACTACAAAGGCTTTGAGAAGAAACCTTACTGCACTATGTGAGTGTTCACAGCATGCACCACCATGATGACTAAAACAAACACTTAAAATAGCTGGATAGCATCTGACTCTTTGTTAAGAGCTTGCAGTATATTTGAAAGAAACAAAACCGTATCTAAAATATAAAAGATGTGGTTACCTTTCCTCTGAAGCCTCAGCATTAGCATTTCAGACGTAGACGTGGTGGTTTTTTTGTTTGTTTGCTTGCTTTTTTTTGAGCCAGCCTTATTTGGATGAAAGAGTCAAGTGCTAAGTTATGAGGAAACGCTAGCAAGCTTGTTCAGAAAGCTGCATCCTTACACTGTAGAGGTGATCCACACAGACACTGTGTGTGCTAACTAGTGCCAAGTAACTGACTAATAAATTATAGAATTTCATTCACTGAATTTGAAGCACAGATTTCTTGGACAGGCTGTGCTTTGCAGCATGCCATATTATAAGTCAGATATTATGAGTTTGCATTAACACACGAGGTCCAGAAGTACAGTTCAGTAATGCCGATTACTGGAGGTGAGGCCTACAGTATCAGCTATGGGCTAGGTGTTGGCACACCTGTCAGTCAAAGGGCTCAACTACTTTAGGCCTCAACAAAATCCAAATGAGTGATTTCTTGGGGAAAAAAATCCACTGTCATAAAAGGCGAATATTGTAAGTTTATTGCTGAATTTGGACATTTTAACATGGGAGTCACTTTTGGAGCCAGCCTAAAATGGCCTTTAGAGACACTAGTTTTTGACGTTTCACTTTTTCAGCTCCTTTAGGTTACTGCTTGTTATTAAGTAACATTAGCATCAATCAAAATCAGTTCATTACGCAACTATAGCCACAAAATTATAATACGTAGCATTATAGGAATTATTTACTACGGCCTTTTTTTCTATTATCTGTGCAAGGTGATTGAACAAGTTTGGTTGTTTCATCATTAACAAATCTACCACATGAGCAGAAGTTAAATTCTGAAGCAGTTGAGCAGGAGAAGCTGCAGGCAGCATGTGGAAGTGATGGAAAAGAGAAGTGTGAGCAGACAGATTGAATCATGTGATTCCAGTCATTCCTAAAGATTGACGTGAGATTAGAAATTTGCTGTCCGACTGTTATTAAACAGCAACCCGGGTTCATCTATTGTGCTCTTTACATAATATTATAAGGCACAAATAATTTGCAGAATGAACAAATTAATCAGTTCATTCAATTCAGTTTGACAACAGTTTGCTTCTCCTGAAAATCAAATATAGCAAAAAACAAAGCAGCCAAGCATAAAGCCATTGAACATCCATAGGAAGAAGACATTCAGCAAAACCTGAACTAAAATGCATGGAAAAACTCTATCAGCCAATCATATTGTTGGGCTGGATTTCATAGAAGATTGCTGTTATGTTGTAGGACTTTGGTTAACACCAATCAATCTAATCATGGTCTTGCTGCTTAACTGGATAGATGGGTGGATGAATGCACAATGTGAATCTTCATTTATCTAATTTCTTCCCTTCTGTTTTGTTTTTTTCAGGCATTACCCCAAAACCTCCTTCACCATAGTGACCGACACCCCCGAGAATCTGCGTCTCAAACAACAGAGCATGCTTAATAGTCAGGTGAGACTTTAGCAGTTCAGGCCTATCTCTGCCATCATTTACATCTTGGTCTTGACCAGCAGAGAAAGGAGATACTGTTTGCAAGCTCACTGCAGCAACATCGCTTGGTGTTACATATCTGTCAGTCCTGATTGCCTCTTTTCCGTCATCACAGTGTTGAAGGTGGTGCGAGAAATAACAGTTCTGCTTTGGTGTCTTTGATAACCAGATATGCCAGGGAACTAAATGTTACACTGTAAAAGCTGGGCATTTTAACAGAAGTTGCTTTGGCTCATGTTTTATTAAAATTAGCCCTGAATTTTCCGCCATGGCCCTCACACTGTCACTGAGAGCAGTGATTCCAACTTTGGTGGCAGCAATTGTTTGGAGCTGTGCTGATGTCAGCTTTTTTGGCACCAGCATCAGTCTTTTTAAAGGTGGAAATAAGTGGAGGTTTTTCTAGGTTAAGCACTGGCAACAGCAACCCATTGGTGGAAAAGTTCTATATATATATATCTCCTTCACTCAGCTCGGTATCAGAGCAGGAGATCAGGACGCAGATCTTGGCTCTGCTCTCATGACAATTGGATTCCTTTGATTAAATCAAAGGTACCCTTTGATGAGTTACTTAAATAAGGACATGGTAGCTTCATTTTGAGACTCTACTTTTACAACATGAGCCAATCTGACATTCGTGAAGTTCAAATGCGTTTCATCAGGAACTCTTGTAAATGATCAGAGGTTTGAGAGCATTTTTAAAAATACTCTCAGATCCAGTCTCCTTTTAGCCTCTGATGTGGTACCGGCCTCCTTTTCCCTGCCATCCCTGTTCTTAAGCTCTAATCTAATCACACTGTTCATGCCAACATGTTCTAACCTGATCAAAGAGATAAGTCCTGCAAGTCACGCAAAATTAAAGAGATTCCTTCACAGATTAAACTTTAGGGATCATCTTGCCACTCAGCATTTTGAGGTGAAGCTTCTCTTCCCTTTTAAAAGGATGAAAAAAGTTAGGCAATCCACTCACGACTGCATTTCTGCAAGACCCGGGCAGACCTGTATTTGTTAGACAGAATATCGAAATTTGCAGAGAATAGTGAAATTTAGTTAACTGAACACGGCATAACCTTTTACCAGTTCACGTTTCCTGTTTATCAGGAAATGATTTCTATAGCAAAGTATTCATGCACACTTGCACATTTGTTTTGAAATTTTCAAGTGCTTTAAAAAAAAAAAGCATAAGCTGGTGAATGGTATTTTTTCAGTTCTTAAGAAAAGTGAGGGGTACTTGTCAAAGTCTGACTTGCATAGGCCCATATGCTCCAAAATCAGTGTCCTCCTTGGTCATACTAAAGTGTTTACTGCAGATGCACTAAGGTGCTATTCACAGAATCATTAACATGAGCTTGGTTGTTATTACAATAAATTAACAGCAATGTGGGTGTTTCACTTCTTAATTACCAAACTGTATGACTGGATTTTACATATAAATATGTAAAAGGAATATAGCTGAGGGGGCACAGTTAGCTTTTTGGATGGTCCTCGACCCCTACCCCCATTCATAATGTCAGCAGTTAAGCTAAACCAATTGCGTAGGTATGCAGAACGCTAATCTGCATTGCCAAGAAAAATCATCCAAGTGAAAAATGTGAATTTTGTGAATTATTTAATACATAAACTGTTTCTGAAAAGAGAGGACACAGTTTTAAATGTAACTTTTACAATGCAATAAACAATGCAAAGGTCTTATAATGGCTGAAAAAATCTTAAAGGTTGCAGTAACACAGCAGAAACCATTACACGTGTATTAAGGTACATGAAACCATTTGATATTTTTGTAGCTTCATTGATGTCATCTATAAATGCATCAAACAGTATTGACTTTCAGTGCTGCTATTCTGTTTCCTTTGTCATCGCCTTGCTATTTTCAAGTGTTTCTGTGTCAACATGTGGTAATAAATCAAAAACATTCATGGTAAATATTAGCACATCTGTTTGATGAGAGGCACTGTGACCTACATCTGCCCAGTTCACTGAGGTTTGTGAGCATTCACTTATGCACAGCTCTTTTAAGGTCCCCATCACAACTATTCACCTGGGCTGAAGTGTAACCTTGACTGGGTCATTCCCTTCTTTTGTAGATTTGCTGCTGTGCTTGCAATCATTGTCCTATTGCATGACCAAATGTTGACTAAGCTTTAGCTGTCAGCCACATGGTCTCACTTTTGACTCTAGAATGCTCTGGTATACAGAGTTCATGGTCGACTCAGTGACTGCCCAGGTCCTGTGGTTGCAAAACCTCATGATGTGTAAGGTATATGTGGTGCTTGTTTGGTTTGCTGTTCTTTATGGCTCCATTTCCACTTTGTTCTCCTCTGTCAAAAGCACGTTGTTACAAAAGTCTTGCAGTTCGTTCAGATGCAGCTTTGCAAACCTAAACCATAATGCCAAGTAGGGCTGAGTGATAAGAGGAAATGTACCTGTTGGGAGGGGAGATTGATGATGCAGTCGCAGCGTGTGGGAGAAAAAACTGAATTACGTGCAGACAGCTTAATATTGCCATAGCCATTTATACTGGATGGTTATGATAAAGCCATTTTAACCATCATAGTGGGAAAAATTTGCGATACATTAAGTTTATTTGGTATATCGTCTACTGCCATGTAGAGGCTTTCTCTAACCAACTCTACCAAACAAGCAAAAAAATGTTTCACCTTTTTTCTAATTTTGCTGTTATGAATTTTATTATTGAACATGTTTACTGAGGTGTGTAGGCTCTGATATATAACTCTTGTTTTCTTTTTTTGTTTCTCTGAGCACAGTCTAATTTGGGGAGAATTTGCTGGGAAATCCACCCCCGGGAAGTGCTGAAACTTTTTGACGATCAGTTAATTAAGTGTATTTGATTAGCAGCACTTGGCTGCAACTTACACTCTTAATTCATATGGACACAGTAAGGCTGTACTGAGTTTTTCTGCTTTTCTATTTTTTCAAAGGATTGAGTCCTATAAAAAATGTGACCGTCTTTTATTTTTTATTCCACTAGATTCCTTTTAAGCTGTCTCTTTGAACAGTTAGTCTCTAAATAAACAAGCACCTGATGAAACAGGACAAACACGCCAAGAGCGGCTGTATTTTTGGTTAGCAATTTAATCTGTCGTTTCATTTCAACACGGCTGTTATAACAGCATGATCAAATTTACACAACCACCCCTCCCGTTCTGCGCTTTACTCATCAAACCAGCCCAGTTCATTGTTTATAACCATAAAAGTCTCTGCAGTCAAGCTCTCTTACCGAGGAGGCATATTCCTCATAGCAACATCATGACTCACTTATGTTTGCATGTCTGCGTGAGTTCGCGGGGATCTCAGATTTACTTTCAAATAAACATGCAGGCATGGAATAAGTTTGCAAGTGTTTCCTTGAGGTTTTAAGCTTCAAAAACTCTCACCAAAAGGCCATTTAAAGCCCTGCATGAATCAGTTTTTGTATATTTTTGATTAAAATGCAGTAAAAGTGTTTAACATGATCATTTTAGCAAGTATAACCCTTTAGAATTGAGAATTTAAGCCAAAGCATTGCCCTAAGCTCCTTTGTCTAAGTTAAAAACATTAAAATGAACAATAAAGACTGATGAATGAAAATTTACAGGCGCTCTATAAGGAGGAGTTTGAAAAGAACAAGGGGAAAGGTTTCAGCGCCGTGGCTGACACTCCAGAGATGCAGAGAGTGAAGAAGACACAGGACCAGATCAGTAACGTATGCTCGGTCCACCTTAAAGACCACCAAGAATCGAATTCTCCGATAACATCTCCATTTATCCATTACCTCTCCAATTATAACAAATGATCTTCCTTCTTTTTTTCCCTCCTTCTTTAAAACATTATTGAAGGTTGTGATGCGGCTTTGCTATCTGCATGTCTGCATGTCTGCATGGGCTTCCATACCATCTTATTCTTTACATGTAAAAGTCTTTGTTAATCATCCTTTGTTGGCTTTGATTCAGTGCTGCATTCAGGTTGTGCTACATTTGAGATGAAATGAAAAATAATAATAATCCCAGGAAGTTAGGCAGGTGTGCCTTGCAAAATAATAAAAGCATAGATGAAAAGTTCTAAAGAGATACAGTGGGGCAAAAAAGTATTTAGTCAGCCACCGATTGTGCAAGTTCCCCCACTTAAAATGATGACAGAGGTCAGTAATTTGCACCAGAGGTACACTTCAACTGTGAGAGACAGAATGTGAAAACAAAAATCCATGAATCCACATGGTAGGATTTGTAAAGAATTTATTCGTAAATCAGGGTGGAAAATAAGTATTTGGTCACCTCAAACAAGGAAAATCTCTGGCTCTCACAGACCTGTAACGTCTTCTGTAAGAAGCTTTTCTGTCCCCCACTCGTTACCTGTATGAATGGCACCTGTTTGAACTCATCATCTGTATAAAAGACACCTGTCCACAGCCTCAAACAGTCAGACTCCAAACTCCGCCATGGCCAAGACCAAAGAGCTTTCGAAGGACACCAGGAAAAGTATTGTAGACCTGCACCAGACTGGGAAGAGTGAATCTACAATAGGCAAGCAGCTTGGTGTGAAAAAATCAACTGTGGGAGCAATCATCAGAAAATGGAAGACATACAAGACCACTGATAATCTCCCTCGATCTGGGGCTCCACGCAAGATCTCATCCCGTGGGGTCAAAATGATCATGAGAACGGTGAGCAAAGATCCCAGAACCACACGGGGGGACCTGGTGAATGACCTGCAGAGAGCTGGGACCAAAGTAACAAAGGTCACCATCAGTAACACACTACAACGGCAGGGAATCAAATCCCGCAGTGCCAGACGTGTTCCGCTGCTGAAGCCAGTGCATGTCCAGGCCCGTCTGAAGTTTGCCAGAGAGCACATGGATGATACAGCAGAGGATTGGGAGAATGTCATGTGGTCAGATGAAACCAAAGTAGAACTTTTTGGTATAAACTCAACTCGTCGTGTTTGGAGGAAGAAGAATACTGAGTTGCATCCCAAGAACACCATACCTACTGTGAAGCATGGGGGTGGAAACATCATGCTATGGGGCTGTTTTTCTGCCAAGGGGACAGGACGACTGATCCGTGTTAAGGACAGAATGAATGGGGCCATGTATCGTGAGATTTTGAGCCAAAACCTCCTTCCATCAGTGAGAACTTTGAAGATGAAACGAGGCTGGGTCTTCCAACATGACAATGATCCAAAACACACCGCCCGGGCAACAAAGGAGTGGCTCCGTAAGAAGCATTTGAAAGTCCTGGAGTGGCCTAGCCAGTCTCCAGACCTCAACCCCATAGAAAATCTGTGGCGGGAGTTGAAAGTCCGTGTTGCTCGGCGACAGCCCCAAAACATCACTGCTCTCGAGAAGATCTGCATGGAGGAATGGGCCAAAATACCAGCTACTGTGTGTGCAAACCTGGTAAAGACCTATAGTAAACGTTTGACCTCTGTTATTGCCAACAAAGGTTATGTTACAAAGTATTCAGTTGTATTTTTGTTATTGACCAAATACTTATTTTCCACCCTGATTTACGAATAAATTCTTTACCAATCCTACCATGTGGATTCATGGATTTTTTTTTCACATTCTGTCTCTCACAGTTGAAGTGTACCTCTGGTGCAAATTACTGACCTTTGTCATCATTTTAAGTGGGGGAACTTGCACAATCGGTGGCTGACTAAATACTTTTTTGCCCCACTGTATCTGCTTAGTTTACAAGCTTCACTAAAATGTAAGCATTTGCAAAATGTCTTAGATTTTCCACTTCAGGCTGCAAAGAAGCCATGAAAAGAACTATTTTCTTTTAGCGTGCATGGTAGACGGGCTGCAGGATTGGATTTTTTGTTGCTGTAATAACAGATCGTTGTAACAGTAAAACGATGCACAGTGTAACTGAATGCGGCTTCATTTTAAAACTCGACTTCCGTGGCTTTAGCTGATGTCAAAGATAAAACGATGCATGCATTCGATATGTAACAAAGCTGACTGTTTCCTTCCACTTGTGTCATTTAACTTGTTTAATGTTTAAAGAAATATTGGATCATTGATGGGAATGTGACCATTCACTTTCTTGGTCAGAGGCAGATAAAAAGATTGACAACACTCTCATGTCCGTATGCTAATAATGAACCACCAGCCAGTTGGCTTAGTTTAACCATTAGGCCTCTTAATATCAATAACATTACCCCCTAAGAGCTGCAGATTCGTTTTTCCACTGTTTTCACAGAGAAAGTGTTCACTAGTCAACCTTATACATGCTTGAAGAGGAATTTGGGGGACAGACCCAACAGTTAACGACTGTTAGCGGCTTCATATTAAAACCGTCCTCATAAAATCTAGTCAATAACAGCTCTAAGTCTGTAAGGCCAAAAGGAAAAATATAGACCTTTGCAGTTAAACCTTATAGCAATAAGGAAAGTCAGTACACACAGATGTTATTGTACCTGGGCTACAATGCAACCAAGATTGATGCAAAAGAAAGGAAGCACAGCATTGCTACATATTTTTTAGTCATAGTAATTTCAAGTGGTATCTCCATCTTTTCAAAAAAAAAAAAAAAAAAGGCATGCGGTTGGATTTTAATAACAGATACAGCTCAGTCCTGATACACAAAGAGAGTGGAGTTAATTTTTTTTTTGAATAATTTTTACCAAGAAAGCAGTTTTTTCTTTAAACTTCAAGTTATTCTTCTAAAATAACTCTGAAATTTGCAGGCCCTTTACAAGGAGGAGTTTGAGAAGAACAAGGGGAAAGGTTTCAGTGTGGTGGTCGATACTCCAGAGATGCAGAGAGTGAAGAAGACACAGGATCAGATCAGTAACGTAAGTGCAGTCATGTTGTCAGACTCCTTCAATATCTTCTAATAGAACTTTTGTATCTGCAGTTTGCTCTTCACTTGCAAAAATGAGGGAAAACTGCTGAATGTTTGGCCTTGACTGTCAAACATCTGGTATGCATCTCACTATGGCAACATTTTTCAGTTCCAGAAGGATGTCATAGACAGATGCAAGCAGAAAGTCTGCAGATGTTAAAAAAGGCATTTTAGCTTTCAAAGAAGAAAACGAGAAAGTCCAGATCAGGATTGTAGATTTGCTGATGGCTTCAGCATAGAAAGCAGAGAACATGTTGCTGCAAAGAGCAGCAAAAGATGTCAAGAGTACAACCCTGCAGAGACACACAGGCACATTTCAGGCATTTCTCTCCATCCACTGAGGAACAGCTGCCCTATATGGTCAAAGTCTCTCAGCTGTGGACACAAAGGGAACTGCTATCCACACACACATACACACAAACTTTCTCTTCCTCTCTCATGAGCGCACTAGTTGTAGAAAGGAATCATGGGTGATAAGCTGTGTGTCAAAGGGGCAATCTATTATTTTTCCACTGGTATTAGTATCAGTCTTTTTCTCATTTCTCCACCCTCACTTCCCACTTTAAAAACAATCCCTTTCCTCCAGTTTTATTCCCACAAATTCCTGTTTCTGTTTACTCCTCTCGAGGTTTCTTGAGGTCACAGGAGGCTGCTCCTTCTCTTCCTTAAGCAACATCCAGTTTCCTCTAAGTACTAGACCCAGAGTTGTTTTTATTCTTGGGGGACATACTGTATGTTGCACAAGCAACATACCAAACTAACAACAAAATAAGTTCAACACATATAAAGTTCAAGAATCTTTGAGTTGCTTTGTGTCACTGAATACCCCATCACCAGCAGCTTCTGTTGGAAAACGCTGAAAAAAGCAGTTTTTAAAAATAAGTTGCTTTCAGACAGTTAGACCAAAAAAGGCAAATACAATTTTCTGCATATAAAAGCTCAGCCAGTGATGTCACTAGGTCATTAGTGAAATTCTGTTTTAAAGCCTCAACTTGAATATTTTTGGCATAGCTATGTTGGTTTATTTTTTTTTAAATCAGCAGTGAGGGGTAGATCTCCATGACATATGACAGTGATCTGTCATCAGTATTAGTCTGAATGGCAACATAATTGACAGCGTAAACACATTGTTTTATTAAATAATATGTCAAATTAGCGATTGAGACTATAAACATATTAGACAAGTGTCACAACTTGGCTCATAAGGCCATGGCAAAAAGGTCGACACACCGCTTGCCAATATAAACATTATTTATTAAACCACATTAAACAACTGAAATAGAAACTATTGACATTTGCAAATCAATGGCCTCAGTGATGTAGGGTGTAGATGAGTGAGGACATGTAAGCAAGTGAATGTATGTGTGTGTGTGCAAAAACAAGTGCTATCCAGGGTGTGATGGTCACAAGGAGCAGGAGGGAAAAAGAGAGTGCCAGCTCTAGATTTATAGTCTGGGAACAGCTGGCACTGACTTATTTTAATATAATTTTTACCATGAAATCTGACAAACCCTCCTCTGCCCACAACATCAAAACAAATGAGAAAACCCAAAAAAGTTGATTCTGTTCATCTAAAACGTTTCTCCCACTGAAAACGCTACATCCAGATGAACAGCATCAACGTTTTTTGAGATTTCCTTAACTAGATGATTGAACGTGCATCAAGACAAATGTGAAAAGGTTGAAAACAAGAGTCAGGGGTCGTCACACGTCTTTACTAACCACAAAGATAAACTGAAGATAAACTGTACGACTGCATTTGCAACTTCCTTTTGCAACCAGTGGAGAGAAACATAATTATTGATAAGTGTAAGACACGCCAAAAGAAGCTTCTAGGACATGCTGTTAGTACAGGTAACTGCGCAGCAAGTTTGATAATGCCATTAAAAAAAGCTTCAAAACGCACAAACATGGCAAAGCGGTCCAGTTCAGAGGACCCTAACTATAACCCTAACCCTGTTATTGGAAGTGAAACCTTGAAGACAGCTTTTGGCTACAAGCACACCTGCACATCAAAGTGATTCCCTGTAATATCCAAATGAATGAATTAAAAATAATTTGCTGTTTATTTAATGAAGGAAAAAACAGTTCTCTGTATTGGGCTATAAACATGGTATTTAATGATATAAAGGTCAGCATTTTTAACATGGGGGCTTTTTGAGCCACTCTCAAGTGAAACTAATGTGACAGTGGTTGACCTTCAGAAAGGAGCAAGTGGGCTGCAACTACTGAAAATAGACAAATAAAAGCAGACACTAAATAGATGTGGGTCTTTCTCTCTCTGCGTCTGTGGCTGCAATATCCACTCGTCATCTCTCAGCACCTCCTAAAATGGTGAGCTGCTTCTCACAGTGGGAGGGTTTGCTGAGGCTGAACCGTCAAATGTGAAAGCTTAGCACCCCCGTGTGGATTTAACATGTGTGCATGTGTGTGCAGATAAAGTACCATGAAGAATTTGAGAAGAGCAAGATTCGAAGTGACGCGCCTCCTCCGGAAAATAGGCAAGGTGAGACAGATCCTTACACAGGGACTTTATAACAGTTTTCCCTTTAAATGTGTGTATGAACTGTGTGTGTGTTTAGACTACGAGGACCAGCCATCCAACCCAGTCAGTGACTTTGGTCAGTCTGCTGGACAAATGCGTACTGCTGCTGTAGCACCACACAGTGGAGGGGTAAGAACAATACATAAGCAAACGTATGCCCAAAAGTATGTGGACACATACATTACACCTGTGTGCATGCTCTCTTTTAAGATGGGCCTCATTCTGTGGGTACATCAATCATCTGGAGAGATTCCTCCAGAGGTTGAATCTGCAGGGATTCACTATGAATGTTGATTGATAAGGCCTGGCTTCCAGTTCAACCAAATCTATTTTATACCAGACTAGAAAACCAGGTTTTTATGGACGTGACTGTGTAGACTGGGTAATATGTTTACCAAAAAACCCACAAGAAGAAACACAAGCTGTTGCACAAAATTATATTTTCTATACACGTCATTTCAAGTGTGCTCCCACATTTTAATAGTAAAGAAAGGTGTCTACACACTTTGGCTCATACAGCATACCCTGTATTTGTGTGAAATGTTTTTCAAGCTTTTTTAATTTTCTCTTGTCTCCTGCAGCAATAACACAGATCCCGGATACTATCAATTCATAAAACACAGCTGTAGTTTTTAATCTTTCACCATAGGTGTGAATGCTCACAGTTTTAGACTTTAGATTTGATTAACTATAAACACAGCAAGCTCTAGTGAATTAATATTAAAACTTCTTGCCATGTATTACATTTGCTTTGTTTATTTTTCCTGTAGGGAAATTAAATTCAAATGTATCCTGGTAGACTGTGTGCTCTTTATGTTCTTATCTGCTATATCAGTGTGTCTGCATGTCTGACTGGTTCTGTTCATTCATCTCTTCTCTGTGTGTGTTTCCGCTCATTCAGAAGCGCTACCAGGCCATGTACAGCTACATGGCAGCTGAAGCGGATGAGCTTTCTCTGCAGGAAGGTGATCTGATCTTAGATGTGGAGCCGATAGATGAGGGATGGGTGTTCGGCTTTAACCAGCGCACTGGGCAGCGGGGCATGCTTCCTGCTAACTATGTACGACCTTTGTGAAACAAACAGTTCTGCCCAGCAGATATTAAGAGATCCACCTCCTGCCCTGTGGATCTGCTGCCCGCACCTGCAATCAGGCTTTAAAATCACCTTTTTTGCAAATGAAATATTGCATTTGAAAAGCATCCCTGCCTGGTTCTGCTTTGCATTTTTTCCATAAATGTAATTTTCAAATCGTATGATGGGGCTCTGCTTATGGTTTCTTTGACTTCCATGAAGAATAAATATTGATAATAAAGCTTATGTTTGTAAGGTCAAAGAAGAAAGGAGGAAAGGAAACAAATTCACAATAAAACCCATTCATCTTCAGATTTACTAATTATTTATATTTTTGAAGGGTAACATTTACTAGCACAGAACCCACTCTTAGAGTAGAATGTTATCCGGTGTATTTTTAAAGCTACAATTACTTATATTTTTACAATTGCTTATGCTTTTATTTTGCAACATTTTCCACTCTTAAAGTGATAAAAAAAAAAAAAGCTACACTAATATGTTACATCAATACCTTTTATTACTATTTCACAGACAATTTTTAAACGTTAAACAGACAGCACAACATGAAACCACAAAACGGAATGATTTTACCCAAAATTAAAAAGGCTTCATTTACAAATTAAGTTAAAAAGTATCTTATCTAGCACCATTTTTCAAAGTATAAATACATATTCCCAACTTATAAATGAAGACATTTCAGTGAAGACTTGCTCAGAATCTTGGTGTCTAGTCTAAACATAGTCCTCTCTAAGTTTTAAGAACTGGCAGAAAAAAAGCTCATTCTCTTCTCAAGTGTCCTCTGTAGCTTCGATGGCAGCCAGCTGAGCTGCAACCTGAGCAGCTCTGAGTTTTGTCCAATGACATCCTCACATAACCTGAAGAAGAGCAGAACACAGGAAAATACCTCAGCGTGCAGTTTTATTTATTCAAGGGAACCATTATGTTTTCTGTCACCTACACTCTCACCAACCACTTTATTAGGTAGACCTTGCTAGTACCAGCTTGGGGCCCTCTTTTGCCTTGAAAACTGCCTTAATTATTTATGATACAGACAAAGTGCTGAAAGCATCTCTATTCCTGCTGCTCACGGGATGTTTTGTATTTTTCAGAGAATGCTCTCTAAAAACTACAGATGGTTGTCCAGGAAAATCCTAGAAGATCAGCAGTTTCTAAAATACTCAGCTCGGTTTGAAGTTTAGCAGGTTGTCTTGGTCATGAGCTGAGTTTCTGTCATGTAACCAGACGATTAGATATTTGTGTTAATAAGCCGTTAAACATGTGTACCTAATAAAGTGACCTGTGTTCGTCTAATACCAAGATAAAGCTTATTAATCTAACGCCTTGCTGCATGTGAGGCAGCACAACTACAAGGAGTTGCACAGCTGTGTTTGCAGACTTTATTAAAACTGATTAATTCTGTGTAAATGGAGGTTGTGAATGGAGGTTTCAGTGATGACAAGAAATACATGTGTTAAAGTATGAAATGATTAACACAACAGAAAGTATGAAACCCATGCTGCATCTTTGTTAAATGAATCCTAAAATTTTAGTTAGTCATACCTGGAGAGGGAGTAAGGCTGAGTCTGAAAGATGAGTACGTCTCTGCAGTGATGTGGTGATGGAAGCCTCAAAATAACCATCTGATGACAGGATTCAAAATAATCCCATGAGGATGGATGATACATGCAAGAATCATTATACCTTTTTTCCCTACTTGAACGTTTTTGGGCACAAAAATTGAATCGGTTTATGGTTGCCACACTTAGTGAACACTCTGTATGTCCTACTGTACGGTCATATCAACGTTTGCACGGACTTCTTGCAGATAATAAATCATAAAGACTTTCTTCAAATCCCTGACGTTTTCTAAAGTACTGCTACATTTAACATTAAGAATGAAATGTCAAAATGCTTTTTTTCCATCTTTAAAGCTCATGATTTCTCTCCCAACATCAGCACCAGTGATCCCAGTCATCTTATTTGAGTTAGTTTTCTGTTTGTGAATGAAGCATAATGCTAAACGTTCTACATCTGAGTCTGAGATGTGGCTTTTAGGGTTGTTGTTGTTGTTTTTTGCAGTTTCTTTGAGCATTACATGATCTGAACTTGAGGGAAACACATTGGGAGACATCGTCAGCTTCCCTCTCGTAAATAAACTTTCTGACTGTAGAATGATGGACTTCAACTATAATGGAAATGACCCAATAACCCTTCCCAGATCAATTGGCAGCAATAACGGCTTCTCTGAGATCATTGCTGGTGTCTCTCCTCCTTCACACTGTGCTAACACATAGCTGGAGGCTCCAGACCAGCAAACTGCCAAAATGTATGTTTTTATAGAGCTCTCCACACTTGCTGATGATCTGATAAACAGATAATAAACTTCACTTTGGCTTAGTATTTGTTAAATAAATAATGGCAATTTGTAAAGTGCCATGTTGTTGTGGTTCATCTGAGGCCCATTTACCTCATTTTAAGACCCGTTAAGGAACAAATTACTGTTTCTGTTGCCTTGATATGTAAAGCCTTAGAACTGAAAGAGGTTATTTTTCACATGACTCTGCAACACATTGCAGATGCATTTAATACTTTGAGCCCTTAAACTACTTATGCTTCATTTATGTAACACTCCTGGTTAAAGACGACGCTGTAATTGGTTGACTCAACAAGTTACCTTAAGAGTAATGGGGTTTAAAAGTATTTAAGGAAAGTTGCTGTTTAATGCAGCAGCCTTTTGATAATGTCTGCAACGGGAAAGGATTATACCACAATGGATTTATTCAGTAAGACCTTACAGTGTAACAAAACAATATGACCGATGTTAATCACATACCGAATCCATGACGATGCGGAGGTTCCTGCTTCCCCCAAACACCACAACGTCACTATCCCTCCCCAGGCACGCCGTATGGAAAACTCTGACAAGTAAATAAAGGTTTACTGCAGCAAGGCTTAAATGTTGTGCATTTTGAAGTGTTCTGGGGAATAAATAACAAGATTTTATGGATAAAATAGACATTTCTGTGAGAACAAATTATGATAAAGCTATGAAGCTGAAACACTTAATTTTAACATTTACAGAATGATTTTAATTACCTGGGCTTGTCTTTGTGGGGGTTTATCATCTTGGTCCACTCTCTTGTTTGTGTGTTAAACTGCCAGGCGTCATCTAAAAGAAAGAGGCTCATGATAAAATAACGAAGCTTCACTTTCACAAACCGTTCACTTCCTTGAACCAAAAGAATGATTATATGCAATCAGAATGGTTATCTGTTTTATAAATGGCATCAGGAAAAACAAGTGGGGATTTGCTTAAATATTTGGGGTTTTTTTGGAAATCGTACCACAAAGAACCACTTCATTTTCTGCCTCTTTATAATTACTTTCATTCTTGTAGTATTTTGTCTCATCCCATAACAGATCAGTGCTTATTCTAGGTTCTTAGGCTTACTTAAAGTATCTCCATTTGTGCCAAAACCTCCGTACATGAACAGCGTGTGATCTGACGTGGGCGTCATGGTATGCCAAGAGCGACCAAGAGGTGCAAAAGCTGAGGAGATGTCACTGTTCAAAAAAGATAAATAAAAATAAATAAATACAGAGCAGTGGTCAGTAAGCCACTAAGGACAAATCCTGTTAGGTCATTGCTTTTGTATGTGTGCAAGAGTGAAAGAAAATTTACAGTTTGGTCCAGGTCCAGGTGTCCAGGTCTAAGCAGAACATGTCCAACTCTGCTGCTTCCTGCAAATGTAAACTCAGATGTTAGGCATTGCTCTTGCCTGAGGCACTACACTTGGCTGTAAATGACTGCAGCACTCAGCATTAAAAGAAAAATATGAAGTACAACAACTTTATAAATTTGTGCACATCTGGACTGGTTATTTTGCAGCTGCTTTTTTTAGACTGTATGTAAAAGAGGGCCCGACATAATCTCCCCCTGATGGCCATTTAAGGAAAGTTCAAAGCACTTCCATATTTGCTGCACTTTTCAGACCTGGAAGCTATGTCCATCTTTTATGTACAGTCTGGAAATCCTGTTTGACTACTTACTGGCTCTTCCACCAGTCTGTCAAAACAACAACACATTTTTATTTTGAGGAGAAGGAGGACAAAGTTACAGGAAGTTACAGTCTGCCAAGTAGGGCAGGCGGTGAGTTAGTAATATGCTCTTGTTTTCACAAAAATCTACAACCCCTCAGCCTCCTAGTAGACACACCTATGGTATCAATTTCAAAATCACCCCGTTCTCAAGCTATTGCATTCACAAACTTAGGTGTCCACGCCACCCGATCAGTGGCGTGACAACAACACCCCATCACCCTTTTGCAGGTGAGGGGTAAAAAACAGATAATTTCAGGTTCAACTCCACACAATCTTGTGAATGCTGCAGTGTCGATCCTCAATATTAAAGTCGAATTAAAAGGAAGATGATGCAACAAAATTGGAATATGTCTGTGAAGGTTATCAGTCATCCAGGTCATCGTAGTTAAAGGAGCTTGCAAAGAAAAACGTCTGGACTTCTTGGAGTTACTTGAAGACGTTTCACCTCTCATCTGAGAAGCTTCTTCAGTTCTAAGGTCAAATGGTGGAGAGTCCCAGATATAAACCTAGTGGGAGTAACCCCCCACAGAGGGACAAAAGGACCCCCTGATGATCCTCTAATCGCCTGAGCCAAGGTGTGAAACTGGGTGTGGGTCCCAATCAGCCAGAGTTTCGGGTGAGCTCATTGTGAAACCTGGCCCCACCTTATCATGCGAATTCCTGAGGTCAGATGGCCCAGGATGTGAGTGGGCGTTAAGGCGTCTGGGGAGGGATCTCAAAACTGGATTATAGATGGCAGACAGTTGGTGTCATAAAACACCGCCTCTGTTCAAAGATGGTCGCTCACAGTGGACATAGATGGCTTCTTTCACTCCTCTTTCAAACCATCTGTCCTCTCTGTCCAAAATGTGAACAACAAAATCGGAAGCTTCACACAAAGATAAAGGCATACATTTAATATGCCTTTAAGGCCACCAGTTATGCTGGTCTCAATGCCTACTTTGCTCTCTCATCTTTCTTACAGGACTAGTTACATGCAAAGTTATTTTTTTCTTCTTTGTCTACACCATTCTGGGCAAGAAAGGTGTTATCAGCCTTTTAGAGCGCCTTGAGGTTTATGTTCATTGTGTGATCCCATGGGTGCTTACGTTACACTTTCACTCACACCTGTGGTGAGTGAAAATATATTTGCCTCTTTGTGTCTCCATATAGAGAAGCTGCAAGCTGATATGAGTTGGTGTATTTTTTCAGTGCGTGTAGAGCTCAGAAATATAGGCGTTTTATTACGACCTTTAGCATTTGAACATGGACTTTGTCATATTTTTTACTGTATGACAGTCGAGTCAGTCTGAGGTCAGAACAGAATTTCTATGGAGCAAACTAATAATATTGGCATGCTGGGAGAGTACTGGAGGTGTGGAAGGAGATAAACCTAAAAGGGGCAGCTGGGAAACTTAACGTGATTTATAAATTCTGGAACTTTTTGGCATTTAAAATCATATTTTTGGAGAAATAACGTTTTAAGAGAGTGACTGTTAATCTGCCATACACTACATGGCCCACAGAATATATATTATTGTTGAGCATCTCAATATAAAGCTATGTCCATTAATCTGCTGTATTTCTGCTCCACTTTTCTGAGATTTTCCCACCAGACTGTAGCTGCATTTGTAAGGTGGAACACTGTTTTTAGGTGATAAGCATTGACTTCCACCTCATCCCAGAGAGGGTGGATGGGATTGAAGTCGTGACTCTGTGCAGGTCAGTCAAATTCTTTCACACCAAAAAAGAAAACCATTTTTATAAAGGATCTGGCTTTGTGCATGAGAGCGGCTTCACGTCACAACAGGAAAGGGATGTTGAAACAGGAAAGGGCCTTCCCCAAACTGTTACCACAAAGTTGGAGGAAGAGTATTGTCTAAAATAGTTGCAGTATACTTCAGCATTAAAGTTTCCCTTTGAGGACGACAAAAATGCAGATCAACCGATACAAAATAGGTTGCGTGCAAGTGTGTCTGCATATTTTTGGCTGTTTATGGTGTCGTTAAGCAGCTCAGAAAAGTGAACTCACCACACCACCACTGATGTAACCTTTGTTCCCCAGCAAGGCACTGGCATGGCAGCCTCTGGGGGATGGAGCAGAACCCTGAACAAAAGAAAACACACCATTTTATTATAAAAATCAGCAAAACACAAATTATAGTTTTGTGACATCATCCTTCTCCTTTTTTTCAATTTTTTTTATTTATTATAGGCCCACCCAGAGCATCATCCTTGCTGGTCTGATAAGCTTAACAAGAACTGATGAGGCTGGTGATCTTTCCCCACAACCATCAAACCCATTCCCCACAAAATGGTCCTCAGATGATGAAGCTTAGACCCGCAGCTTTTCCTGTAGCACCACCAGCATTTCAATACAGTGACTTTACCACTGCACCCATCTCTTCGCTTTCAGTTAGACCCTAATTTTTCTACATACATGAAAAACCTATTATATACCCACCATGCTGTCATATGGTATTCTATTATATGAGCATTGTAAACACAATTTAGGATGTAGCTAAAACCTTAATTCCTTCTAATGGCCAGCAGGGGGAGACTCCTCTAGTTGCAAAAAGGTGTCTAATTGTGTACAAGTCTGTGGAAAAACAGCCCTCAGCTCCCTTAATTATGATCTCAGTAAACACTTTATTTGTGAGTGTATTATCTCAGTTGCTATTTTAATGATTTATTAATTATTTCAAGGTATTAATTTAGTAAATTACAGAATTGTTTAAAAGTGTGGAATTTTTCAGCTGGGATCAACTTCTGCTCCAGTCATTTGGTTAAAGATAATAAAATATACCATTTTAGTGTGTAATGCTTCAAGGTCATAGGTCAAAGGTCAGACATCAGCGTGTTGTTAGAAAGCAGGCTGATGTCAGCACGTTGTAATAAAAAAAAAAAAATCATAAAACATCAAAGTTTTAGTGTAGCTTCTGGTACAGCTGTGTCTGAATACAGCCTCTGAGAACTGCTAGCATGGTTATAGCCTAATAGTTCAAAAGTAAGACCATCTTATTGTTTTACTCACTTGAGTCTCTGGCATGCTCCACGTAGCTGTGAGTGTGTCAAACACATTCACCTCACTGTTCCATCCCTTGCACAGAGTTACTTCGTTTACAGCTCTTGACTAAAAAGAAAAGCATATAGATCATCATTAGTAAAACAACGATTAACCAATAAATTGGCAACCAAAGTTCTATATCAGAGTAATATCTACCCAGGACATCTCTTCTAAAGTGAAGTTTGATGACGATGTGTTTCGTAACTCCCTCAAGGTCTTGCATCCATATCCACCAAAGTAGATCAATCTGCACAGAGACAATAGGAGAGAATACTGCTCTTTTAACTTTCATTTACAAATGAAATTACTGAAACCTGGAAGAATTTGTGGAAAAAAAAACAAAAAAAACAAAAAACACAAACACACACACACACACACACACACACACACACACACACACACACACACACAAACAAAAAAAACATACTTCAATTAAACAAAGCAATGAGGTGAAGGTGCAACATAAACCACTGCTATTTGTATTTGTAAAACTGGGGCTGCTATTCATTGACAGCTTGTGTATTGTAGTAACTGACCTGCCTCTGTGTACCCAGCAGGAGTGTTTGTTACGAGGTGAGGGGGTCGTTCCCTTCGTGTCAGTCACTCTCTTCCATGAGCAGCACGGCTCAGAGAGGTCAACGCTGAACATCTACAAACACCGTTCAATTTATTAGACAAAATAAGAAAAATACACTCGCTGGCTACTTTGGTAGGTACACCTGATCAGTTGCTCCTTAATGCAAATATCAAAATTAGCCAATCATATGGTCAAATGCATTTAGGCATGTTAGACATGGCCAAGATCAAACTGTGGATCAGAATGAGGAGGAAAGGTGATTTAAGACTTTTAATGTGGCATGATTGTGGTGGCAGATGGGTTGATCCGAGTACTTCACAAATTGCTGATCTACTGATTTTTTCCGCACAACCATGACTAAGGTTTAGAGAGAATGGTCAGAAAAAAGAGAAAATATCAAGCGAGTGTCAGTTCTCTGGGGGAAAAATGCCTTGTTGATGTCACACATCAGAGGAGAAACCAAACTGGTAGGAGCAAATTTGCCATAAACAGCATGAAAGCAAGGATCCATGCTACCTTGTATCCATGGTTCAGGTGGTAATGGGGATATTTTTTCAGCACACGGTCTAGCCATCTAGCCAATTTTTAATTCAAACCTTTTTTTAAAGGAGCTCCTGGCTGCTTGTGTTTGTATTTTATTGTCAAAAATGAACCACAAATTCTTGACTCTTAATTTTGCATATTATATGGATGGTAAACCCACACTGCTTATGCACCTTTTCATTTTAAAAGCCATTCTTTGTGAACTTCTAGTCTGCCTCTACAGAGAGCTTTCACACGCTTCAAATAGCTATCAGAACAGATGATCGAGCTGGATAATCTCCAGTTTCTACAGAGTCTGGTATGAGCCTGACAAAACAGCATTTGTGAACTGTACACACACACACACACACACACACACACACACACACGCGGTGCTTGGAATAATACACAAGACAAACTGCATTTGGAGACTGTCTTCATACCCTGAATCAAAACATGAAATAGATGAATCTCCTTTATGCCTCTCTAAACACTGATGTGCAGACAAGCCCCTGCGACTATCTTTATGCACGTCCGATCACATTGTCCAATCTTCCATATCAGTGATAGCCACCAGAAAGCATAAAGAACAGGTCAGGCTCTGAGTGACTTCTAATTAAACATTATCACAACAATGACGTCACACAGCTGAGCCCGTTTTCAAAAGAGACAAATATTTGATGACCTCTGAAAAAGTCAAACAACTTTTACAGCTTTCTTTTAAAAAAAAAAAAAAAAAGCTCAGAAGACTTACTCAAATAGTACATCTGAAACATGATGAACAATATTACACTTTAAAAAAAATACATAACTTCAAATGTGTTGCTCCTGGGGAAGGAGGCATGCATACCGCTGCACATACATGTAAAGTGTCAAGTAGTTATGCAAGGAATTTTGTTTTGTCTGTTGTTTTTTAGAAACCCCTAGAAAGAGAGCCTTATCTGCTTTCTTACTATCATGCATCTTAGTAATATTGTGCTGAAACTGACTTTAAAAAAAAACAACAAAAAAAAACATGTTTGCTTTTTTGCAAGTTACCAAAAAATGTAAAGTCTGATATCAAAAGTTGACGGGCGGGTAGCAGGGTGTAGTTTTCCAAATCTATTCAACTATCCTTCAAACAGTTCTGCTGAAGTATGTACTCCCACTGTGAGCAAGTCTAGCAAAGTTCAGAATGATAACTTGATCTTCACAAGAACAAAAGTGGCAAGATGCTGATGCCTCTCAGGTCTAACATGTACACCAGCTCAAGTCACTAGCTAACTTTTTGACTTTGTGTATGCTAATATTTGCTCATTATATCAAAGACAAAGAACAGCCAGTGTATAAATGCAATTTTCCAATGTGAATGAGACATTTTAATTCTGAGATAGATAGAGATATATATAT